TGTATAACTTTTATTGATCCATGGGGAATTACCAGTAACTGCATAAGCAGGGGCTTTTACACAGTTAAAGGATTATCCATGTGCTGTTTCTTCAAGCTGTTTGTCTTTCCATTATACATAAACCTTTCTGACCAGGAATAATATTGTTATATATTGCATGTTTCTTGCACTGAAGAATATATACTTACTTAGAGACAGTTTGTAATTTTTTAAGGAATTTTGTCTTCTTTAACTGAAGCCAAAAACTTGTCAGAAATATTTACAACTAGGCACCAATGGCTCACACCTGTAATCCTAACTATTCAGGAGGCTGAGACCTGAGGACCACACAGTTTAAAGCCGGTCTAGGCAGGAAATGCTATTAAGACTCTTCTCTCCAATTAAGCACCCAAAATCTGAAAATAGAGCTGTGACTCAAGTGGTAGAACATCAGCTTTGAGCAAAATTAAGGGACAGTGCCTAGGTCCTGAATTTAAGCCCTAGTATCAGCATGCATACACACACACACACACTTATAACAAAATTAGTTTTCCCTTACAGCTCATAGTAAGTTAAAAGCTAGGGAGTTTTCTGCTCACTGAGACTGAATTCATGACTCCTCCTATGTCTCAGTTATTTTTTCTAAGATTCCAGTTCACAGATTTTTGCTTCAGGTCAGCAAAATAACACTAAATTACCCACTACTATAATGTACTCACTGAGAAAAACTAAGAAAATTAAGACAAAAGTCAACAAATTTCTATTTCGGCCATATATATATATGTGCGTGCGTGCGTGCGTGCGTGCGTGTGTGTGTGTGTGTGTGTGTGTGTGTGTGTGTGTGTCATTAAATTTGATTCCATGTATTTAATAAATACCAAATTTTACATACTTTATTACTGCAAGAAGTTTACATGTCCTATTTTTATTATACAACCATATTTTCATCTTTTTTTTTTTTTTTTTGTCGGTCGTGGGGCCTGAACTCTGAGCCTGGGTGCTGTCCCTCAGCTCTTCAGCTCAAGGCTAGCACTCTACCACTTGAGCCACAGCACCACTTCTGGCTTTTACTGCTTATGTGGTACTGAGGAATCGAACCCAAGATCTCATGCATGCAACGCAAGCACTCTACCACTGAGCCACCTTCCCAGCTCGCATATTTTATTCTTAATTGCCGCAAACCTCTGTGCATTGGTTATTTTGAAGGTCGGGTCTTGCTTTCTGCCCAGGCCAACCGTGAGCTGTGATCCTCCTACTTGTGTTTCCTTGCATCGCTGTGGGTGACAGGTGTGTGTCACCATACCCAGTCATTGAGTGAGATCGATTCCCTGGAACTTTTATGGCCAGCCTGGCCATAAATCTTCAATCTCAGTCCTCAGTCTCTGTCTCCCATGTAATTAGGATTACAGGCTTGAGCCACCATGCCTGGTCTTTGTGGGCAGTTTTACATTGAGAGTTTAAAGCCATTAACTTAGAAGTAGTAAGGTTTTCCTGGGTATGAATTTGTGTCATGTAACTTAATCTTGATCATCTAGTTCTTGGGGGGTAAGGGGAATGAATAGTTTTTTTAAGAAAATATTTCGAATGCAGTCAAGTTTCTCAAGATGCCATACCAGTCTTGAATCCAATGGAACCCTTACATCAGCGATAACGATGATGGAGCTTGTGGTATTTATTGATGGTGATGCTAGTGATAATGATGATGGTGGTAGTGACTAATGGTGGCTGTGATTATTGTGGTAGTGTCCAGGTAATGGTGGTGGTGGTGGTGATACTGGTGGTGATAATGGTGGTGGAAATGGTGGTAGTTATAGTGATGGTGGTATTTATAACGTGCAGTGATGGTGATTGCGGTAGTGCTGAATGGTATAAATTAACGGTGGTGATGGTGGTCGTAGTGGTGGTTGAATTATCAGCGTACATTTCCCTTTGGCAGAAGGACTAAAAGTCTGGCTGCCTGAGTTTTCATCTCAGCTCCTCAGTTGTCAGTGTGTGGGGCTGTAGTTAGGCTGAATTATTTTCATTCCGTGTGCTATGAGATGTGGGAAAGGGTGATGGTTAGCATTGTTTCGAAGAGTTAAGGGAATGATGGGTACAAATGGCTCATGCAGTACTTAACATTATAAGTACTTGAACTACAGCTGCTACGGTGGTGTGGGTATTTTCCCCAGTTCTTCACTTAGGAGACAGCCGAGAGAGATCTCGAACTGGTCCCAGGTCCCTGGCAAGTAAGAGGTAGATGCAGGGCTGGAACTGGAGATTCATGGCCCCCAGCTCTGAGGCTGTAAGCCCAGTCTTAGGGCAAACATGTGGGAGGTGGGTGTTTGTCAGATTGCTCTCCCACAGCTGCCCTGGGAAGGACCTATCTTTGCCTCTTGAGCCTTTCAATAAGCCCTTAAGTCTTTTAACCAATCCGCTTTCCCTTTTCTGAACTTGATCCAATCTAAATACATCCCTAGTGCCTATGAAACTTGCAAGTAGGCTTACAACACAGTACGGGGTGTTCAGAGTTTTATGAGGTGGATTAGACTTTTCCTGTCATGTGAGATGATTCTGCTGGGGCGAACCTGAAATGATCTTCATCTTCATTAAAGTGACCTTCATTGCAAACACTATTAATGTGTCTGTGGTCTGTCATCTCCGTCTTCATGATTCTCAAATTCACCCAAAATAACAACAAAAAAATTTCTCTCTCATCTTTTCTTCCATGTACAAAATGAATTTATATTTGTTGATTTAGTGGTGGTAGTGTTGAGGGTTAAACTCAAGGCCTTCTGCTTGCTACACAAGCACTCTACCCCTTGAGCCACACTCCCAGCTTTTTTTTTTTTTTTACTTTGGTTGCACGTTTTTGCCTGGTGCTGACCTCAGATTGTGATTCTCTTAGTTATCCCTCACATGTAGCTTGGCCCATAGGCATGAACAACCATCCTGGCTTGTTGATTGAAATGAAGTGTCAGTAACCGGCTGGCTACAAACTTCAATCCTCCCAATCTCCTTCTGTCGAGTAGCTGAGATTACAAGGCTAGTACCACCACACTCAGCCTGAGGCAACTCTTTAATCCTTACTCACCCAGTACCAAAACAGTTATACAGAAATATCCAAAATGTCTGCCTGGACCATCTCAGTCTTGTCTGTGGCTCCTTTGTTTTGGGGTGTAGGTCTGGCTGCCACCCTTCACTTTCAGCTGCCCCTAATGTCATATTTGGGGTAATGCGCATCTTCTTAGTACCTTCAGAAAGTCCTACATGCATGACACAACCATGAAACATGAACAGCTACCTTCTGAAGAAAGACATTCTGGGTTTTTACGGTTTACATTTATTACATTATTTTTAAACTATTAATGACAGATTTAGACAGTCCACTCTCAATTTTTTTTAGGAAGAATGATACTGCATTTTTAGTTCTTCGTGTCTATTACTCAAACATTTTTAAAAAGATCCATCTCCCCCTAGAGTCTTGATTTTATTGAAGTGAATTTCTGAGATTTACTACACCTCTTTTATAAGTATAATTGTTTTCATAGGAACTCTAAGTCAAAACCTGCAAAACAGGTAAAACTTTCGTTTCAAAGTCAAAGCAACCCAAAGGGACCAACTTAGAACTGCATATGTATACACATCTGTCTGTGTACATAAATCAATGACTATGTTTACCTATATGTGTATGCTTTATAAAAATGAGAGGGAGGAACATGTTTAGTTCAAGCATCTAAAAGATGGTTCAATAGACATATCCATGAGTTTACCTTAAGCAGGGAGCAATGTGGAGCCAGAAAAAATAGATTGTTTCCTTGGACCATTCTGGCTTCATTATCATATTACCCAAAGAAAGACAGTATATTACATTGCATTCCTTTAAAGAGAACAAAATAAGCTAAGGTTGACTGGATGGAGTTGAAGATGGAGGTTTGATTGTCATGTTTTGTTTTGTTTTTTGAGCTCTCCCAGAATGCAGGTTGTTCTAAGTAAAACTGAATAATAAACACTGATTTTTTAAATTTAATTTTATTGTAGAGATGCTGTACAGAGGGGTTACAGTTACATGAGTAAGGCAATGAGAACATTACTTGTTGATCATTGTTACCCCTTTTTGTTGTCCCACTACCCATTCCCTCCCCCACCTTCTACACTCCTCCCCACCCCATTCCACCCCACCCCCTCCCAAAGTTGTAAAGTTTGTTTCCAATATACTGTCCTATGGGGATCATTGTTGCAATGGGTCATCCTGTGTCCTTGTTTCAGCAAATAAACACTGTTGTAAAACCAGATGCCAATTTACTGCAGCACAAGGTGGTTGGGTCTTAATTTTGTATTTTTTCCATAATCTACATTTTAAGTTGCTCATTATCAGTTGGTAGGAGTGTGGTTCTCCTTGTTAGCTCAACTTCTTGTTTATTTACAAAGAGTAAAAGGAAACATGATTCCAATAGCACTGTGTGGAGAAGAAATGTGGGGTTTTTTTGCCATTGTTCAGGCAAGAACAGAACTTCCCTGGTGGCGTGAAGAACAGAAGGGTTTAGAAGGGCAGATGGTTAGCCTCTGGCTGCAGTTCCCCCTGATTCAAAATGAAGATGTGATTATGCCATGAGAGCACATATTATTTGTAACCAGAGCCCAGCAAGGCCCACCCAGAAGTGGAGGGAATGGTTGAGTTTGGGTTGAACCAGTAAGAAAATTGAAGGTTCTCCATAAAGCACCAAGAATACAACTTCTGTACTTGGAGGGCTTCATGTAAGGATGAAATTGGGTTCCTTCGTGGGAAATACCTGAACTGTGTCACAGGGGAGCCTTTTAACAGGGCGCATGTTTAACCCCCATTCCCAGTGGGTATGCTTCCAGTGACTGTAGCTCACCGATGACCCCTGGCGGTGTCGAGCCATCTCACACTTTATTGCCTTGGGTCAAACCTCTGTTGGACAGGGCAAACCTCCATTTCCAGGGTCGGGTATGTACATGATTTTTAGATTTTATTCAAGTTTCTTTCTCAATCTTTTTTTTTTTTTCATTTGTTTTAGGCCAAAGAACTGCCAACTTTAAAAGATAATGATTTCATTAACGAAGGCCAAAAGATTTACATTGATGACAGTAACAAAAAAGTGTTCCTGGAAAAACTGAAAAAGGATGTTGAGGTAAGAAAAATCAACAAGAAGGACAGCTCCATGGCATCAGGTCACCTCTGTTCACTTTTAGGAGCTTTTTAATCCACAGCAAACCATACACATACACATACACACATACACACACACACACACACACACACACACACACATTGCAGCTCACATACAAACAGATAGACATTACGTTATATCGGTTTTAAAATGTAGTATGCCAGAGTCCCAGATGATAGATCAGAAACACCAGTTGTCATCTGCTGGGTGGGGACATCCTTGGGGTCCCCTGCCTGCACACAGCATCTATGCAGAGTATGAGAGGACCAGCATACCACTCAGGGCTAATAAGCTGTCCTCAGTCAGCTCATGTTTTAATATTCCTACCAGTCATCATAAACAGGGTCCTGGGGTCAGAGAGCCAGGCTTGCTCCACCACAGGACTTAGCATGGAGCACTGTGGCACTGAGTTATGGAGAGGGTAATTTGAAATAAGACCCAGTGTTCTAAAGGGCTTAGTGTATCATGAACGAGATTCCTCTTTAAGTACTGTTTTGTTTTAGGAATTGTTTTTAATCCTCCTCTTCCTGTCATTTTGCTTAGTGTAAAGGCACTGCAGCTTTCCTATTGGGCTTCCTTATTTAATTCTTTGAGAACTAAACTCGGATATGGATGTTATTGAGTTAAAATGCAAAAAGAATTCTAATTCAGGCAATCACTGAACTAGGGTTCTCTTGCCCACAACTTGTTTATAGATATGTGCTTTTTCATTTTTACTTTGAAATCCTGTTCCCACACAGTCAGGCCTGCCCCTTAGAGGGAACTTTGTGGAAAGATTTTCTTGTCCATGTCATTAAACAAAATCGATTAAAATGACTAGAGCCAAGGAATGAATGCCATGCATTTGATTCTTCACCAAGGGACAAGTAGTGTTTTAATTTACTTTTTAATCATCTACCAGCTCTTTTCATTGCAAAACACTGGAGCTTAGCGAGTTCATTCCTTTTTTTTTTTTTTTTTTCTTTTTGGTGCCTATCCTGGGGCTTGAACTCAGGGTCTGGGTGCAATCTCTGAGTTTTTTTTTTTTTCCCCTCAAGGTTTGTACTCTATAACTTGAGCTACAGCTCCACTTCCAGCTTTTTGGTGTTTGATTGAAGATTAAGAGTCTCAAAGTCTTTCCTATCCAGGCAGGCTTTGAATTAGGATCCTCAGATCTCAGCTCATTGAGTAGCTATGATTACAGGCATAAGCTATCAGCACCCTGATTATTCCTAGTTATTGTTCAATCATTTAATAAACTTTTCTACATCATTTTAATTGCCATGATGTATATGCTTGGATTTAAACATTAGTATTGTATTTGGGGGAGGGGAGAATACAAATTTCTAGTTTTAAAACAAAACTAAATACAAGTATTTCTTTTTACCATGTAACATCTACTCTTCAGTCTCTTATTAATAAGCATTTTTTTCTCAGTTGTCAGGGTGATTATTTAAATGCATATTAGTTAAGTATTTCCTATTTACATTGGGGTCAAATTTGATCCCAATTGATAATTAAGCACTGTGCCAGAAGAAAAATATTCTCCTTTGAGTTTTTGATGATTAATCAACAAATCGTTGGTCTTGAGAAGTAATACTGGTTTAGAAATTATAGTAAATAACCCTTCCAGTTATCTATGACTTGCCCCTGCCAAAAAAAAAAAATCTTTTTTCTCTTTTCTTCTTTTTGACTTTGTATCACAAATCACATGTAGCCTCCAGAAAGAATGTAATTCAAGCAGTTCAAACTGGCATTTGAACTGCATGAGGATCCTCTTAAGCCTTTTGTTGTCTCTAATAATGTTGTTGATTAAAGGATTGGATAGTTTAATCCCCGTACATGGCTCTCACACTCGGCTGTTTTGTTGAGAGGTAGGCAGGGCATAAAGTGTTCTTTCATTAAAAATTTTTCTCAATGGCTGATAACAGTGTCTTTAGTTTCAAAATTCATGCAGGAGAGGAGCATCATTAAATTTTTAAGCAGGTAATTGTGGTGAAATAGCTTGACATCTGATCCTGACAGTGAGACTAGAATTTAATCGAGTTTTATTTTTCCATGAGCTCCAGGCTTTCTAATTTAGCTGACTGGTCTAATGGTTCAAGTTGCACTATGTTGGGGTTTTTTCAGTTTTGGTTTTGTTGTTGTTGTTGTTGTTCGCGGCGGCTTTTGGGGGGGGAGTTATTTTCATAAGGCTTAATAGAATATTTGAGTTTATTATAGCTCAATAAATGATTTTTTTCTCAAGAAAAGAATTGTCCAGAGAGCTTTGCACAAAATAAACATATAAACCCTTTCTGAGAGAGGAGAAGAAAAAGAGGAGGAAGAGGAGGAAGAGGAGGAAGAAGAAGAGAATACTATATTCAGACCAGAACTTGAGGACATACTCCTAACTACACTGACATAAAACATAACATTGGCATAAAATTATACAAGTTAAAGATGTTAATGATAACGCAGTAGCTACTTTGCTCTCTGAAAGCAAGCTCCAAAGGAGGAAGGCAGTAGGTTTAAACAAGTGGTCAAACACTACACAGGGCTGATGGGAATTCTGGTTTAATAACCAGCTGTGTTGGAGGTAGCAGTTCTAGTAGAACAAGTGTGTTAAGAAAGTTAACACGTTGACATCATTGAAATCTGTTGTGAAAATAGTTGATTCACTGCATCTTGGCCACAGCGTTTGGTAGAGGAGGTGGTGACAGGGCTCATAAAGATAGTGAGGAAGACACTGGCTCACAGCTTTGGCACAGACTGGGTGTATAGCTCAATGGTAGAAAGTGCATTTAACTCACTTGATGCTCTGGCACCAAAAAGAACAAAAGGGGGAAACAAAACATAATTGGCCTAATGATGAATTAATTATTGAAGGATCCAATTAGATGAGATACTGTAAGTATAAAAGAGATAGATCCTCAGCCTGGCACAGACAATTATGAAGACCTTAAAAACAAAGAAAACCAGGGGAGGCTGGGAAGGTGGCTCAGTGGTAGAGTGCTTGCCTTGCATGCATGAGGCCCTGGGTTCGATTCCCCAGCACCACATAAGCAAAAAGAAAAAAAAAGCCGGAAGTGGCGCTGTGGCTCAAGTGGTAGAGCGCTAGCCTTGAGCTGAAGAGCTGAGAGACAGCGCCCAGGCCCAGAGTTCAGGCCCACGACCGGACCCAAAAAAAAAAGAAAAAGAAAAGAAAACCAGGGGAGCCTAAAATTTAAGTCTTCATACTTTGAATTCTTCTGAACTTAAAAAATAAATAATAGATAAGAATTTTAAAAGGATGAGCAATAAAACATAAAGGTGGTTATATCTTGAGTTGCCAGTATTCACCAGAAACTGACCCCACATCTGAGTTCTAGGCCCCATGCTGGGTCTTCTTCCATTTCTGCCCAGTCCTGTAGACTTGAAAACCTACGACTCGGTGAGATGGCACGCGTTTCCCTGAAGCACTGTGTTTAATTCACCCAGGGCTTCAGGGACATCATCACAGGAACTCATCTCCCTTTATTTCTTCCTTACTGGAAGAGAAGCCAAATCAGGGTCTGACCACAGGTTGGAGACTCGGGGAGGCTGCTCAGGGCATCCTGACATGGGAGACCACTCTCAGGAAGGACAACTCTGCCCAGACACACATGGCTTAATGAGTCCAGCCAGCCCTGTCACCATCCTTGCTTGTCCTGTTAGGTTAGTCACAGGCAAGCCCCTGACTCTTATACCAAAGGCACACTCAAAGTGTATTTGGAGGTCAGCCATGTGAAGGTGAAACATGTTTTTGAAGGTCAGCCCTGTGCAGCTTAACGGTGTTATTTAAAAGCCAGCCATGGGAAAGTTGAAAATGTATTTGGTAAGCCATGTAAAGGTCAAAGTATATTTGGAGGTTAGCCATGTGAAGGTCAGAATTTTACTTGGAGGTCAACCACGTGAAGGTCTAAGTAGAAAGTGCACTGCAGACAAGCCAGCTGCGCTGTGATCAATCTCATTGTACTTCACAACGCTGTTGCCTCTTGCTGCTGCAAAGGGATTTTGTTACTGCTTTGCTGTTTGTTTTTGTTTGATGTTGGTAGTGTAGTGGGGGAAGTGGATGGATAGAAAAGATGCAGAAATTGCATTCACTCATTTATTGGCTTGTGGGGAGCCCAGCACCTGCCAGGGGTCAGGAATACAAGGGAGAAAGAACAGCCAGAGCTCCTGGTTGACGAGAGGACTAACTCAGATACCCCTACAAAATGAGCTGAGCCCCAGGTGTGGAGGGGAAGGATACCCCAAAGGAAGGTCCCGACGGAAGCACCTGTGTTCAGATGATAGGATAGGAGAGGGGACAGTAGAGCCAAGGTCCCCGTGTGGGAGTATTGTTTCTACTCTGGTAAATGGGGCTAAACCAGATTTGCATCTTGAAAACACCTTCCCTTTCCAGGAGGCTAGAAGGGGAAGTTCAGGGTGCCCCTAGTTCTTTTCCAACCTCGCAAGTGCCCAGAGAAAGCAGGGATGAGGAGAAGGGGACTTTTCCCTGCCACACAGCAAAGCTGAGGCAGTGAGGTAAAGTCTCCATCCTCCCTTTCTGTCCCCTAGCCCAGCACTCTGAGGCGTACATTTGTCATCTGGTCACCCAGCACTGCCTCAGCCCCTGGAGAGGCCTTCAGGATGAAGGTGGTCAGAGGCCCTAAGTGCAGGGCTCAAAGCCAGGTACATACTAGGTGGAGCAGGGGCAGTGAAGGAGACAAAAAAGACCCTGGCTGACCTGCCTCTCTAGGAGCCCAGAGGCTGAGTTCAGTCTCTCCGGAGCCTTGGACCCACAAATAGGGTAGAAATGGCTCACAGTGTGCACTTTGCCAGTCACACTTCCTGAGGGCCAGCGGATATAACTAGATGCTCTTGGTTATGATTTCCAAATGTGCTTCCAAGATAGGAGGCCCTGGGTATTCTGAGGGGGAGCAGCATCCCTTATCGACATGGACAGGTCTTCAGGAACCCTGGACTTTAACTCTTTCTCTTCCAGCATAAGCTTTGGAGAAAGCTGCTTTAACAAAACCTCCAGCAGTAGCGTGACTCCTGAACCCACTCCCTCACTTGGAGTCTGTGGACTTGTCCCCACCTTCCCAAGCCTGTCTACCATCTCACTGAGCACCCAGAGCCTGGCCTTGAGACTGGTCAGCTGTCTCCAGAGCCCATAGCATTCAGCTCTTAGCCGTATCCTAGGCCCCAGGGAAAGCAGAACAAGTCACTGAACTGGGTAACAGACAGGTCCTGTGTTGGTAAAAGATTCAAGCACTTTATACATTTGCTCGCCCATTCAGCCATGATGTGGGGATTCGTGAGGATGGCTGTCCACAGATATTCCTAGCCAGATGTCCCTGAAACCTAATACTGTCAGGACCCCCCGGAAGGATGGCAGTCTGGCACTAAGAAGGGAGCCTGGGGATGGTAGAGACAGTAGAAAGTCCATTCTTGCCATCACTAGAAGAAGGAAGGGACAGGGAAGAGTGGCTGCTTCTTCAACCTCTGAGGCATGGATTAAACAAGAGTCCAGCCTCTGCTTTTAAATAAGCCCATTTTTCCTACCTTACTACAGTATCTGAATATCAAACTTGTGTAAGGTTTCTCTGTTCTGCCCCTTTCAAAGCCTAATAATTGGGCTTCCACACAGGTACTCAGAAACACAGATTAGGAGGATCAAGGTAAAAAAAAAAACAAAACAACTCTAGTGCGATTCCCATCTCAATGAAGAAGCCAGATAAGAGAGTTCACATTATAATCTCACCTACCTAGCACGTGTGAGTAAGAATATCAAGGTCTAAAGCCAGACCTATCTGAAGCCTAACCTAAAGCAAAGAGCTGGTGACTCATGCCTGTGATCCTAGCTGCTCAGGAAGCTGAGATTTGAAGGTTACAGTTCAAAGCCAGGCCAGGCAGGAAATTGAAACTTTTCTTTTCTTTTCTTTTTTCTTTTTTTTTTTGGTTGTTCGTTGAGCTTGAACTCTGGGCCTGAACGCTGTCCTTCAGCTCTTCAGCTCAAGGCTAGAGCTGTACCACTTGAACCACACAGCACCACTTCTAGTTTTCTGGTGGTTTATTGGTGATAAGAGTCTCACGGACTTTCCTGCCCGGGCTGGCTTTGAACCATGATCCTCAGATCTAAGCCTCCTGAGTAGCTAGGATTGTAGGATTACAGGCATGAGCCACCAGCACTTAGCTTCTGTGAAACTTTTATCTCCAGTTAACCACCAAAAAGCTTCAACTGGAGTTGTGGCTCACTTGACAGAGTGCTTGAGCATAAAAGCTGAGGGATAGCATCCAGACCCTGAGTTCAAGCCCAGTACTGGCACCAAAATTGGAGGGGGGGGAGAGAGAGAAAGGAAAGAAAGAAAGAAAGAAAGAAAGAAAGAAAGAAAGAAAGAAAGAAAGAAAGAAAGAAAGAAAGAAAGAAAGAAAGAAAGAAAGAAAGAAAGAAAGAAAGAAAGAAAGAAAGAGAGAAGGAAGGAAGGAAGGAAGGCCATTGGGTCAGGGGATGGCCAATAGGAAGGGGTTGGTGTTGGCGAGCAGGCCTTTTGCTTGCCTATAAGGAATCTTTGCTCTTCACTCAACTCACAGAGACAGAGCTGCTTCCCACAGGGCTCAGAGCAAAGACAAAATGGCCCTGCAGGTCTTTGCAAACTGATTTCAGTTCATTTTCCACCAGAACATCAAGACCCATAATTTTCTATATTTACCCTTTGTGTTTGGAGGCTAGTTCAGAGGCCTCATCTGCTGCTCTGCACCAACGAACCAAGGACAGTGCAGCCAAATGCTATGAGAGGCAGGGCAGGGCACCCTTTCCAACACCAAACCCTAATTGGGTACAGGATGGTGCCATGGGAGGAGCCGGCTGTAGCCAGCAGGTGCACGGTGTAAGCTCTTCCCACTCTACACTTCAGGAGTCAGAACATCACATTCAATGTCAGGTATCTGACATTAAAATTTAAAAAAAAAAGAAAGAAAGAAAGAAAGGAAAGGAAAGGAGAAGGGGGAGGGAGGGAGAAAGGAAGGAAGGAAGAAAGGAAGAAAACAAGGAAGGAAGGAAACAAAGAAACATGACATGAGAAATCTAAGAACTTGGCAGGCCTGGGTAGCCAGACTCACAGGGCTTTACATTCCAGCTGTGGCTGGACCAGCACAGAATGAGAGGAACTTTGGTGTGTGACTCTTCGTAGGTAGCAGAGTACCTTCATCTTCTGTCCCCTCCTCCCTTCCCTCAGAGGGAAGTGAGCTAAGGACAGAGGGGCTTCATTGCTCACTGAAGCAAATGATTGAAACATTTGGGCTTTTACTTATTTGTGATGGAGCACAAGAACCCTTCCTGGCCAGTGTACAGAATTTCAAAGTGCTTTCCAAACTACTCTGGGGCTCTGCCGGAGCTACTTGGAAAGCCCCTGCTATTTCCCAATCTCTGGCTTCATTGTTGGGAGAAACTTGCCCTTCCCTCCCTCCTGGGCTTGTTCATGCTGGGCATGCTCTCTGCTCTCCAGTGTAACCCAGCCTCAGTGATTAGTGCAAGCCTCCACCTCCAGCTTTGCATTTCAGGGCAAATAATCTGCGTTCAGAACCAGCTGGAAGTGTGAGGCTGGGTTTTAGTGGAAGAAACTGCCTGGGATTTTGGGAGCATCATGGAAGAGGATCTTGGTGGGGACCTCCCTGACACCCTTGTACCTCCCCCTAAACGGTTGTCTCCCATGCATGTTAACTAAGTTTATGGTCTTGTGTGTGTGTGTGTGTGTATGTGCCAGGCCTGGGGTTTGAACTTAACGCCTGGGTGCTGTCCCTGAGCTGTTTTGCTCAAGGCTAGCACTCAACCCCTTGATCCACAGCTCCACATCCAGATTTTTGGTGGGTTAGTGGAGTAAGAGTCTCCCAGATAGCCGGGCACTGGTGGCTTACGCCTGTAATCCTAGCTACTCAGGAGGCTGAGATCTGAGGATCGAGGTTCAAAGCCAGCCCAGGCAGGAGAGACTGTGAGACTCCTATCTCCAATAAACCACCAGAAAACCAGAAGTGGTGCTGTGGCTCAAGTGGTAGAGCTCTAGCCTTGAGCTGAAGAGCTGAGGGACAGTGCCCAGGCCCAGAGTTCAAGCCCCACAACCGACAAAAAAAAAAGAGTCTCCCAGACTTTTCTGTCCCAACTAGTTTTGAACACAATCCGTAGATCTCAGGCTCTGGAACAGCTAGGATTACAGGTGTGAGCCACTGGCATTGGGCTTTGTGTTCAAGTTCTTTAAATCTGGATGGTTACAAAGGTACAAATGACTGACTTGATGCCTCTCCCCCACCTCTAAACCCCCAGTTTCTCGCCCAGTTAAAGCTCATGGATTACAGTCTTCTGGTGGGAATTCATGATGTGGAAAGAGCGGAGCAAGAAGAGGTGGAGTGTGAGGAGAACGAAGGCGAGGAGGAGGGGGAGAGCGATGGCACACACCCCATCGGGACCCCACCAGACAGTCCTGGAAACACTCTCAACAGCTCCCCACCCTTGGCTCCCGGCGAGTTCGATCCAAGTATTGATGTCTATGGAATTAAATGCCATGAGAGTAAGCTTCGTGACTAGCAATTCTTTTGCATGTGCAGTGAGTGGTTTGATCTTTGCAGTGTGATCTCTCGGCCATCACAACCCCAATTACAAGAATGCTTCTCTGCGGGACCAGTCCTGCAGCGTACAGGTGCATTGATTTGGGGACTGGAGTGTGAAGAAGGAATGGAAATCTCTGTAATTGAATTCTGTGATGTTAAGTGATGAAATGAAACTGCCACACAGTCTTCTACTACCTATCTACCTATGTGTGTATGTGTTTGTATGTGTGTATGTGCGTGTATGATCATTTACCCATGTTTATAGATAACATATAAAAGAAATGATGGGCTGGGAATCTGGCTGAGTGGTAGAGTGCTTGCCTAGCATGCATGAAGCCCTGGGTTCGATTCCTTAGTAACTCATAAACAGAAAAGGCTAGAAATGGCACTGTGGCTCAAGTGGTAGAGTGCTAGCCTTGAGCAAAAGAAGCTCAGGGACAGTGCCCAGGCCCTGAGTTCAAGCCCCAGAACTGGCAAAACAAAACAAAACAACACTTTAAGTCTTATTTTAAACTATTTTCTTTCTCTCTTTTTTTTTCTTGTCTTTTTTCTTTTCTTTTCTTTTCTTTTTTTCTTGCTAGCTGGTACTGGGGCTTGAACTCAGGGCCTGGGCACTGTCCCTTAGCTTTTTCACTCAAGACTGGCAATGTACTACTTGAACTACACTGAGTTTTTGTGATTGGAGATGAGAGTCTCCCAGACTTTTCTGTACAGACTGGCTTCACACCATGATCCTCAGATTTCAGCCTCTAGAATAGCTAGGCTTCTAGGAGTAAGCCACTGGCACTCAGCCTTTAGCAGTTTTCTAAGTCAGTAGTATCACAAATCATTTCTGCATTATGCACTGTGACCCTCGGGTGGCTGTCCAATGGAGCAGGCATACTCACACTTGCGTGTGAGTGAGAATCTGATCTGCCACATCTGTCCTCTACTATCCTCCCCTGGAAAGAGGTCTATGACCCTCTTTTCTAGAGTAGGACCCAGCATAATCTTGGAAGTCTAAGTGATTGGGCATCTAAAGAAATATTACTTCAATCTTAGCTGTGTATCCATGAAGGAAAAAAAATTAGTGGTATAATAAAAATAGCCTCTTGTTTTCTAAAAAAATAAACATGTGGTTCATTAATTTTTTTAATCTCCAATGACACACCAACGAAGTGGGCCTGAGTTGAGTTTTACTCTCTTTTACTCACCAACATTGCTTTTTGCAACTTAGAAAATTAGATATCACGGGATATCCATTTCTTACCATCCATAATTGAAAAACAGTTTTGAGAATATGTAGAAAGTAGGTAATGAAGATGATAAAAAGCCTTTATGTAGTTCTAATTTCATATGCAATGAGGCAATAGAGCTGTGAAGTGTGCATCTTATGGTAGGAAAGGATCAATAGCATAATGGTTGTGCTGGTTTTATAAAGCACTTTGAAACAGTATTTTTTTTGTATACACCAGTTACCAGTAAAGAAAGCTGTCATTAAAGAGTTGGCAAACAGAAACATTTGTTCCTACCTGGTATTGGTAGTTCATGCTTGTAATCCTAGCTTCTCAGGAAACTGAGTGAGGATCTAGGTTTAAAACCAGCCTGAGCAGACAACTCAGAAACACTGTTCATCTCCAATGAATCAGCAAAAAGCCAGAAGTGGAGAGTTGCCTTGAGTGGCAGAGTAGCAGCCTTGAGTCAAAAAGTCAAGCAACTGTATGAGGCCCTGAGTTCAAGCCCAGGACCAACCCCCCAATATAAAACACTTATTCTCATTTGGACCTTCACTGACAATCGCTTACACTGTTAGGATGCTCCTTTGGTTGGTTGGATGGTTTTAACTTTTTAAACTGATGAGAACTGGGTACAAGGAGCCAAGCAGGCTGGGCAGGAGTTGAGCCTTTCGAGCTCTCTCACTCCTGACACGGCTGACTTTCCTTCACCCGAACCTCAGTCCTCACTCCCTGGGTACCTCATGCTTTTCCAAAAGTGATTGTGCTCTCTTCCCTTTACAGACTCACCCAGGAAAGAGGTGTATTTCATGGCCATTATTGATATTCTTACTCATTATGATGCAAAAAAGAAAGCTGCCCATGCTGCAAAAACTGTTAAACATGGCGTGAGTATGGCTCTCTATTATGGGGGGAGGGGTGTTCCTTCTTGCTCTCTGCTCCTTTCCACCAAGCTATTCTGAGTCCTCCAATAATGCTTTTTTTTTTTCTGCAGAGGTTAGGGGCTTCTCAGCCAATCCCCTGTCCCCACTCTTACCCCTCTCCTGGACCCGGGTGTGAATCACCTAGACTGGGATTTCCACACAGGGGATATTAATAGCCACCTGCATTCTAGAATATTCTATAGATTCCTCTGTTGAGAAACACAGATTGAAGTGCTGGAGACAATTTGGTGCTGCAAGGTTTCACACTGAAGCAGCATTCTCAGAATTCTGTTCTGTCCTGTTCTAGTCCATTCTCACATACAGAATTCTGCTTTTCTCATAGTGAGTGTGGTTTTTCCTAATAGAGAAATCCTTTGTGTATAAGATCAGCGATTCATGATATTAGTTCCTCATTTCTATGGTGCTTGTTCAGAATCACTAGTCTAGGCATATTAACTTGTTTCATCTCCATGACAAGCCAGAGTAAAACACTAGTGTGTCCCCTGGAGAAACTGAGGAAGACAGCCTCAATCAGGAGTGACTTGCCAAAGCCCATTACTAGGCAGTGATAGAAATGGGGTTCCAGCCTGGGCCAGCACTGTGCTCGGGTCTGGGTCCTTGACTAGAATCCCCACCTGTCTGGCTGAACTGCATATATGGTGTTGTGTCTATTTTATGCATGTATTGTAGGAACCCATCTGACCTTCTGGGTCCTAAAGAGTACAGATCAGTCAGGCTGTTTGTTCACACAGGCCGGGGAGGTGCCTCCCATTGACGCATGGAGTCAATTCAGACATGCCAGAATCAGCACGCAACTAAAGGCTGTCATCCCAGAACTGGGAGTAGCTTAAAACCAAATTCCATTTGCCAAAGAAATATTTCAATCCCATCCTCAACAATGGTCCTGCCATAACGGAACCCAAACCAAAGCCTCCCCCGTCCCAAGCCCAGAGAGCACAGGGAGAGAGGTGGGCAGTGCTCCCTCCCGTCCGAGCCTTCTGAGTAGCTCTTGAGTCTCAGTCTAGTTCAGAAGCTGAGGGAGGGGCTCCAGAGGCGCCTCTGGCCATTCTCTGATACACAGCTCTGGCTGGAAACACACATACACTGCAAAGCCAAAACTGGACAGAATCTGTACTTTCTCTCTGTATACCTGAATGAAACACCAAATAAGCGGTCCTGACGCCTTGTCTGTTGGAGCCAACCACTGGGTAGATGTTTTATAAGTGTTCCATAGTATGCATCTTATGAAATCGAAGTACACTGTGGCCCCATTAGTCCTCTTAGTTACGTTTCCTTCTATCACTTACTTACTTACTACATGGCCTAAAATCATGGGCAGTTTACAAAACCCAGATGTTACTTTTAGCAGAGAAGTATTGAACTGGCCTACTACTGTTGACAGCCGTGTTCTGTTTTCAAGATTTGCCTCTTCAGTGAAAACCCAAACAGTCCAGGCCAGGAAGTTACAAGTTTGCCCATGAACTTGACTCTCTAAAAATAGTCCTGATGACTTAGTTGAACTCTGCTCCTGCCCTTTTCAGGCAGCTCAGGAAACTGGCCAGGCTCTGCCTTGTGTGTGTTGGCCAGTGCTGGGTATCTAACAATAGAAGATCTCTCATTGGACTTCTGCCAAGGGCCCAGCTTCCTTGTCTGTGCAGGTCTTGCAGGAGATGCAGCTAGGAACATAGATTTCACTGGCTATAAGGTCAGGGCAAACCTGGGCAGATCCCAGGATCCATCAATTCTGCCGTCCTGGTTTGGAGCATTGAACATTTCCCTCTGTCTTAAATAAGACAGTCTTGAAACGCAAGGCAATGTTTGTGTCATGAAGGCTCTCCTTTTCTCCAGATGCTTATATTTTTCTCATGTTCAAAGCCTGCCTTCTTGACTTGTGCACCTCTGGATATAAACCACACAGATGCCACTGTGTGTTGGGAATGTCCTAAGTGATTTGTTGGGTTTTGTTTTTGTTTTTTAAGATGCAACTGCCCTAGGTAAGTGATGGGAACTTATTGTGCTGTGGCCAGTCTTGGCCTGATGTTCAGACGTAAGCACTTTGATGTTTTTTGTTTTTTTGGGTTTTTTTTGGGGTCCGGTTGTGGGACCTGACTCTGGGCCTGGGTGCTGTCCCTCAGCTCTTCAGCTCAAGGCTAGCACTCTACCACTTGAGCCACAGTGCCACTTCCGGCTTTTTTCTTTTTGCTTATGTGGTGCTGAGGAATCGAACCCAGGGCCTCAGGCATGCAAGGCAAGCGCTCTACCACTGAGCCACCTTCCCAGCCCCACTTTGATGTATTTTGAGAGCAGAGGCTGCATAGGAGTGAATATTAATTACTAGCTTCCTGGCTAGGGTATGGCACGCTATTGCCTAGCGTGCTCAAGGCCCTGGGTTCTGTCCCCACCACTTAAAGAAAGAAAAAAAAAAAGGAAATCTTTATTTTTTACTACAATTGATACTAACTAGTAATTTTGGGGAAACCATTAATATTATATCAATATTCCTTTCCTTTGACATTTCCCAGGCTGGTGCAGAGATCTCTACCGTGAACCCAGAGCAGTATTCAAAGCGCTTTTTGGACTTTATTGGCCACATCTTGACGTAACCTCCTGCGCAGCCTTGGACGGATATGAGCATGGGAAGGACCGGTTTTGGTGTAGGACAAAAGAAAACCAAACTCAATGAAGCACTCATCTTGCAGGAAGCAGACCTCCTTTGTTTACATCTTCAGGCTAAGATGACCGATTTGGGGGGCTACTCGCTTTAACAGCTACCTGATATTCCCCAGCCTCATTCTAGCTACTTCCACTCTGTGTGGGCGCGCGTGTGCATACACGCACATGCTCTTGTGCACATTTTTTAAATAATTAATCAAAACCGATCGGCTTGAATCAGAATGTTACAAGAAAAACCCTCCAATTCCAGCTGTGGGTAGGTGGGTGGGTGGATGGATGGATGGATGGATGGATGGACACAATGGGGGGAGGGGAAGGGAAATGCACATCAGAGCACCTGTTGGCATCATGCAATAAACTGTGGATCAGTTTATCTTTGAATTGAAAGATGGGAGACAGTATTCATAATAATAATGAGGAGGATAATGAGGAGGATAATAATGATGCTGATAAAAAAGAAAACAAAAGCAAACACTTTAATGCAAAGGTAATACTTCTACACAACACGTAAAGACTCTCTCTCTCTCTCTCTCTCTCTCTCTCTCTCTTTCTCTCTCTCCTTAATAATTGCCACCAGAGCCCCCATCCCTGGGTGGAAGAATGCTGGCTGGCATCTTCATGGCCATGGGTTCTGTCCCTGTAGTATTGGGACCCCCAGTACCCCCAGAATAACCACCCTCTTTTCCACCACAGGACTCTGTCCACATTTCCTCCTCTATAAAGATGTCTAGGAAAACTGCTTGCTTTTCTTTCTTGCCTGGAGACTCTTCATTGTTACACCAGTATGTTGTAGGTATTCATGCTACAAAATAAAAACAAAGCTTACCTGGAAGGTGCATAGTTTGGGGCAATAGTAGCTACATCTCCCTGTAGGAAGATGAACAGAATTAATATTCAATTTCTCCTGTCACTGAATGCAAATCTGAGTTGCAAAAAGTTTCTGTTTGGCCATTGTTTAAAGGATGGTATTTTGTTACCAATTATGATCTCTTTAACTGAAACCCTCAGTTTAACTGTTTACATTATTAGGAAAACAGGGATATTTTTGAATCTAAAAATTTAATAAACAGCATGTGATTTTTGAAGTTTACATGTAAAGACATTTTACAGTGCTGGTGAAAATGATTGTCACATTTACAGATGTGTCCTTCAGTAATGTTTCATGAGTGAATGTTTTGTTCAAAGTACATGGTAGATGGTGAAAGAAAGAAAGAAAGAGAGAGAGAGAGAGAGAAAGGATTCTTCCATTCTTTCAAATGAACATTTATCAACCTCATTTTTTAAACAAATTTAACCCAACTCTGGTTTTGTAAATTCATTGCCCTAAACTGTGCTGATTGTGTTTAATCAAGTTAAACATTGCCCACATTGATCATGTATCTGCCAACCTTCCTTCATTTTTCTAGAAGGCATCAAGTTATAAGGTTATTAGACTTGCTTAGAGTAGGTACTCAACTTACACGCTGTGTTAAAGCTGTGCCTTTAAAACTCCTTGTTTAAAATGTAAGAAGATTTTTGTAGGTAATTCCAAAAACACGGGGGAAAATAATTCACTCTGTAATAATGACTTAAAACTCAACGAGTCTTCCTGTAAGGCTGCCTTTTCCAGTCATCTTTACTTCTGGGTTCCACAAGTTTCATTGTACCCAGCATATGCAGGCAGCCTTGGAAGCCAGCAGTAATGCCATGCGACCATTCTCTACTGACTGGGAATTCATTCTCCCAGGAAGATAACTCCCCTGTAACATAGTCATACCCCTCTGTATTTTATGTATTTTAAGTTCATCAGTGCTATGATTTGATTCCCCATCCCTACCAATAGTTAATTCTGGCCTACATCTGTTTTGTTGTTCTGAAGTTCTGCTGTGGTTCTTTTGACCCAAGACATACAAATGTGAAGCCCTGAATTAAAGATAAGGTACATATACCGAAATGGAGTAACTTGTTTCCTTTGTGGCCAATCCGTGTTGGCTTTTAGAATTTGACAAAATGCATTATTTTTGTCTGTAACCATCTCTGTTGTTCATTTCGGGTGAGAAGCTGTTTGGACAGGATAAGGAAGTTTGTCTTGTATCTCCTAGTGCTAACAATACACTCCAGCCATGAGCCAGGCTTTACAAAATAAAGCACTTTGAGGACTCTCAAGACCGATTCTTTGCTCCTCTGTCTCCATTGCATCTCTTTCTGCTACAGACAAAATGTCACTACCATTGAGAGTATCTTTACGCAGTCCATAAAAGGGGGGGGGGGGGAGTCACATGGCCTCTTTTCAGTTTCTACAGCCTTGTCCCCTCTCTACAAACTATCAAAATTACTGAGACTTCTATGCCACAGTGGGTTCAGTGAAAGATGGACAGGTAGCAGGGAAGAAAAATCATGTAGTGATCAGCCTTAGTTCAGTGCCAGGGTCCCAGTGTTAAAGAAAGGATTGCTTGAAGGCATTTCACCATCACAGGTACTCAGGGAGCAAACAGTTCTGCTGTTTGTTGAAAAATGTTTTGTTGTTTTTTTTTTTTTTTTTTTTGGTAAATCATGGGGCCTGAACTCAGAGTCTAGGCACTGTCCTTGAGCTTTTCTGCTCAAGGCTAGCGTTCTATTACTTTGAACCACAGCTCCACTTCATTTTCTGGTGGTTCATTGGAGATAAGAGTCTCACAGCTTTTCCTACCTGGGCTAGCATTGAACCATGATCCTCAGATCTCAGCCTCCTGAGTAACTAGGATTACAGGCATGAGCCACCAGTGCCTAGTTGAAAATGTGTATTCTAATATGATTCATCTGTTCGGAAATAACCAATACACATTGCAAGTTGGGAGTATACAATTGGGTATACAAAGAACCTTAGGTCAACACAGAAAAATGTTCTCAGTTGTACTGAGCCACATAGGAGATAACACACATGCTTTTACACACATACACACACTGCAAACACCTACCAGAACCTCTGATCAGTGTAGTATAATGCATCACCAGCATCTGTGGAATTACAGCTTTCTGCCTAACATCAGATCACCTTCGTCCCCTTTGTAGATACTCAGAGCTGCAAACCTCCTGAAAGCTACCAGTAGGCCTTTGGCAAGGTCACCTGCATTGTTTACATTCTCTCTTCTAGCCATGTAGCATGTTGGAAAATGTATTAGTGTTTGATTGACTCCTAAAAATAAAAAAATAAAAAAGCTTACTTCACTGGTAAAGCATGGAGACATTATGACCCTAGTTCCATTTTCACTAGAAGTTCCATGATTTCTTTCTACATGCTTTTGGGATTTCCAGATATAGATGGCTCATTACAGAACTGACTGGTCAGCAGGAAGCTTTAATCCTGTATTCTTTATGGATAATTTGAATGTGGATGCATTTTCCTTTCATTTGGGTTATTTAATTCCTAGGATTGAAATTTTTCCTCATCCCAGGAAAATCAATTTCTTTTAATTCAAAATAAGACAAAGGTTGGTATGAAGAGTTAACCTTTTAATGTAGCACTTTGGAAACCAATGGTTAAGAGTTTAAGTGTCTGAGTGCAATAGTGTTTACCTATAGTCTCAGCATTTGGGAGGCTGAGTTAGTATGATCCCTGAATCTAGGAGTTCAAGACCATCATGGGCAACATAACAAGACTTTCTCTCGAGAATAAAGATTAAAAAAAGGAATGGCAGGGGCTGGGAAGGTGACTCAGTGGGAGAGTGCTTGCCTTGCATGCTTGAGGCCCTGGGTTCGATTCCTCAGCACCACATAAGCAGAAAAAGCCGGAAGTGATGCTATGGCTCAAGTGGTAGAGCGCTAGCCTTGAGCTGAAGAGCTGAGGGACAGCACCCAGGCCCAGAGTTCAGGCCCCACAACTGACAAAAAAAAAAGTGTCAAGAAATAAGAAGCAATATGAAATAAAGTGCTAAGGTGGCTAGTGTGTTTGTGTCTATAAAGGGGCCCAGAGGTCAAGCGTGGAATTAAACTCTGAAACTCTTAATATCAGTGGGTTCTTGAGCCTACCAGCACCACTTCACACAGCCTTTCTAGAAATGTTTAACTGGCATGAAATGAGTGATCATAGCGATGATTGCACATGTATACCCTTTGAGCTCTCAAAATAATTGGCCCCCATGTCTTCATTTATTCCTGTCTTCTTAAATAGCATTTTATTCAGCCTCAGGCATAAAATGTGGAGATTACTTTGTTAAACCATAAAATTTGTTCTCTCTGAAGAGCAGAAACTGCTATGCTTTTTAAATTCCTTTGCTCAGGAATCACCTGCTGTTATGGTTTGAACACCCATCCAAGGCTGACAGCTTGTTCTTCAATCGGTGTTACTATTCGAAGTCATAGAACCTTTTAGGAGGCAGGTCCTAATGGGAGGGAGTTAGATCATTGGGCACATGTTGTTAAAGAGGTATTGCTAGCCCTTTCCTGTCTTTTTTTTTTTTTTTAACATCCTGGCCACCATAAAGTGAGCAACCATCCTCTGATATACGCTTACACCATGGTGTACTAGCCCAAAGCAACAGGACCAAATGACCTTAGACTGAAACCTCTGAACCCTTTTAATAGCCTTAGGGAATGGAAAGCTGACTAACACACCCATATAACTTTGTTCATCCTCTGGCCAGTCTTCCATTTGGTTTCCTTTTTCCTGAACTTGTATCTTTACAGTATCAGCATATTGAAGAGACACACATAGTAAAGTGGGCCTGACCATTGACATAGATTGGGGAAATTAGAGTTCATGACTTAACCTAGAGTGATTATTGAAAATTCTTTCATCAAAGGAAACTGAGGAGTACAGTAGGTGCATTTTTATCAAAACGGAATGCCTTTCAGAAGTTTATCCTAGTTCTATTTTTGTAGTTCTATGAAAATCCTGCCAAAGGGTAGTTAAACATCCATAATCTGTAATTTCCTCTCACTCTTGAATACTTTCTACAAGAGAAGGGACAAAAGATCATAGTTTCCCAGAATGTGCTGCAACAGATTACGTCTTGTAAAATCCCACATGTGTTGCTGAAAGAGGTGTTACAGATAAGGAAACTGTTGAACAAAATAACCACCAAGACTGGTTCTCAAAGATTTACAAATTATTTCCTTTAGAAATGAGCACAAGATTTCTGTGTGGCAAATTCATGCCTTCATTCAAGTAAGCAAAGAAGGACACGGTTTTTAAAGGTAAAATGAGGAAGTTTTTGTACACTATGTTAGAAAACTTATTGTGGACTGAAAGGATCAATAACAAAGTTTCTGCTGTTCTGTGTCTGAACAGGCAGTGTCTGGTCAGATGTCTCCACAGAAGTAAAAATTACATCTGGAATCCTGGATTCCAGAACCTGCCCGTCACCCCAATGAGAGTTATTTCATTTACCTATCTTTTTCTAACAACATCCCAGTTTTGTTATCATTATTGTTTAAGCAAGGAGTCTCCCTGAGGAAAATAAAAATATTCATAAACCTAGTGAGTGGTAATCTCTGAATGTGAAATTTGGAAATCTATTCTTAAAATATACTTTCTAAGTGCTTCTCACAAATAGCTAGCCATTGTCTTCAATGGCTAATCTTTCTCATTGGTCACTAATTTTAAACACGTTGTTGGTGGTGGTGGTCATGGGGCTTGAACTCAGGGCCTGGTACTGTCCCTGAGCTTTTTCACTCATGGCTAGCACTCTACCACTTTGAGCCACAATGCCACTTCCAGTTTTCAGGTGGTTAATTGGAGAAAAGAGTCTCATGGACTTTTCTAGCCAGGGCTGTATTTGAATCACGATCCTCAGATCTCAGCTTCCTGAGCAGCTAGGATTATAGGCATGAGCCACTGCATTTTCATTTGTGAATAAAGTTTTGTTGGAACATACATCACACACATTCATTTAGTGCTTTCTATGGCTACTTTCAGGCTACACGGGCTTAGACTTAGAGACTTTTAGCCCTTCATAGGACGTTTGCTGACCGCTAAAGTAGAGCTCCTTTTAATATTACCAAGTAGTTTCTGCAAAACAGCTTTGCCTACAACTCCTTCATATTTTTACTTATCTGTGATGTGCTTTAAAGGAACATTATATCAAAACTTGGCAGCAGAATTTTATAATAAAAGTTTGGCATGTTTTAGGATTGGGTCATTATGCAATTGACTTTGATGAGCCACTAGTTTTGAAGGCCTCTGGTTTTTAAATCAGGCTGAGAGATTTTGGAGGCTTGAAGGGTTCAAGAGAGAAAAAGAAAAGAAACCTTGAAGTTTGGAAACCTGGAGACCAGATCAGCTTTCTTTGTCTCTCCTAACCCTCATTCTGATTCTAGCCTGTGTGTCCACTCTAATTAGATTCCTTGTCTTCAGAATATTCAGAGTAGCAATAATAAAACTCCATATTGAGTGTTTGTCTCATCTTCCTGTCAAGTTCCATGATTTTCTGGTCATGCACTGTATCGCTGTGCTGTCCCCACATTGTCACATCTGCCATCCACAGAGAATGTGGACCTTCCATCTGGAGACGAGCCTCCTCTCATTCTTTCATGAAAGCTGTCCCTTGCAACTCCATGATTTTTTTGAGTGTGTATGGAAGTTATATCTCCTTTGGAATTTGTGTTTTAGGAAATTTGCTAGGGTTATCGTAAATTAACATAGCAGTTCTGGACAGAGTTGTCTATCCACGGAAACCATTTAAAGGGTAATAAATTTGTCATTCGGTCCCTTTGTTAAAGTCCTACAAAAACAGATGGTTGAGTTCTTCAGCATATGTGACATCTCATTGGTTTGCATGAAAAAAAACACTTTAATATCTCTATACGTGCTTTTATTCTCTTTTTTTTTCTTTTTTCTTTTGTCCTGAGGTCTTGTGCATGCTTGCCAAGCAAGTGCTTTACCACTGAATTATACCCTCACACACTTTGAAAAACTTTTGGCCTCATGGAGTTCTGGTTAAGGCTTTTGTAATAACTAATGTAAACCATTTTGACTTAATTTTGCCAAGATGATTGTTCTGAAAGCATGAGAATTTGTATGGACTGTGTTTACCTAGCATTTCCCCTTTGGAGCCTCCTAGTAATTTGGGAGTCAATGTCTATCCAGTCCATTCATGCCTTTCAGACCCAGATGGTCTGAGGTTTTGTTTGGTTTTGTTTTCCCAAAAAATATTTCCAGAAGGCAGTTTCTTCCTGCTTTGGCTGTA